AGTAATAGTACTCGATGGACATCAGAAATGTACTCGTAGGGTGTGTCGGTTTGAAGATGAATATATGGAAAGTACTGAGCTTGGTCCCATTCAAGTAAGCTTTTTTTTATTGCGCTATAATTTATTTTGAATAAAAGCTTGTACGTGTACATTGGTATTATTTTAGTTGATAGTATATTAACCGAAAAAAAGATAATAGCTTGACTGTAAAGATAGCAACACGATTAGTAAAAAGTAACTATTAACCAAATTGCATTTCAAAAGACGGGATCCAACATCAAAGGACGCCTGAACTAAACGTGCAGAGGTAGACATGTGTCAATTTCAAGCGGATGTTTATAAAATTAGCTATTTTTTGATATTAAGAATTCTTAATTCCGATCATGTTTTGATACGAGAAAAACGTGTTTCGTCTCCTCTATCTATTAATGCGATTAAGATTGCTAAACTAATCGAAACGATTGTTGGAACGATGCAATTTTCTTAAAAAATAGACGTTTTGACTAGTTCCAACGGACTAATCGGTTGAAGAAACTTAGTCTTTCTCGTAAAGGCAGAATTAAGAGTTTTAATTTCGAAAAATAGCGAATCTTATAAACAGCCGCTTCGAATTAGTACATGTCTACTCGAAGGCATAATGATGATAATGTACTTGCTTGATTCTTTAATTATAGACTGGCTGCCAGTTTACACCATCATATAAATCCAAGTATTGTGAATTACATCAACATCTTGCATCGAAAACAAACACTAGCTTTCACGAGGACAATCTTAGTGACGTGTCTACAGAATATGAGTATGATTGCGAAGACCAGCAGTCAATTGTACAAAAGGCTTCATCAGCTACAAAAGCAACAAAAAAAATATCTGACATGAATATCAGCATAAGTGTGACCGAACCCATGCAAACATTTGATAAAGAACAGGCATCGGAGGAAATTTTTACAAATGAATGTGAAACGTTAAAGTCAAAAAACGAAAGTAAAACCAAACAACGGCGGAGTTGTGGAGCTATTGCAGCAGTATTTAACTGTGGCATTATTTTCGGTTTAGCTGAATTATTTCGATCTGAGTCTATCAAACAAGTTTACCAATTTATGGCTAATATATTTGATGGAAGAGAAGATTTATTACCTAATGTGGTCTGCTATGATGATGCTTGCCATCTTAGTCGTTTTTCATGGAATACCAAAAAGAATGTAAAACATGCAACGAAACCATCACAAAAATTAGCCCAAATGGATTTTACGGTTGATAAGTTTCACATTAAGAACCATAAAGATCCTTGGTGTCTTAAACATATGGACCCTTATCAACATCCAGCAGTAGATACGGTCAATACAGGAGCTTGTGAACAGATCTTTCGATGGATGGCTCTCTATAAAAATATTTTCCGTAGTTTAAACCATTCTTGATTTATGTGGATGATGATGAACGTTTGCGAACTTCGAAACGAACATCGTTTGAATGATCTGTTCCGAAAAAATAAAATGAAAAGCTAGTCATCTTTCATTGTGTGATGCCATACTTCCTATTTTTTGCTATCATGTTCGTCATCCCTTTCGCTGTTGACGTTAATTGTTATACTTATTCTACTGAGTGCTTTTGTCCTATTTTACTTAAGTAAGCAGCTCTTTTTAAAAAGTTATCTTCATCTTCTGATTTGATGGTAAATTTCCTAACAAAAATAAATATATAGAAACACAGAAAACAAAATGCGGATACAACATGTACCTACCATCCTAATCCTAGAAAACAATATGAACGCCATATATAAGTACGCATTTTATGGAATTCTACAAAATATAATATACAGATCCTCACACATAAATGGATTTTGGGGACTTTAACTATATATGCAGCAAAGCATCTGTGTGAGTATTCCTCTGTGTAATACACATGAATCACTGAAATTTGTAACAAAAATTAACAATAAGATCAAATTTTATTACGATCTCAGCTAAGAGAAGCCAAAAAGCTACGTTAATCCATTTCATCAAGAAAACGTTAAGGCTGCTTTCATTAACAAAGCAAAAGCGGAAAAAAGGAGGGCAGAGCGCCAGTGAGTAACAGAACACAATTTAATATACCACCCCTACTCCTATCAACCAAAAACATCCCACTGCCAGTTACTCCTGGAGCACAGAAACAAATTACCACTCTACAAACCCGCATTAACCATATTAATACCAAAAAACGGCATCCCAATGAAGTGATCTCGTTCCAAAATTCACGATAACCATATATTTCATTCTTTTTGATGGACAGACAGACCACTAACAGACGGCCTATATTTAGCACGATTATTTTATCATAGTTCCCAATGTCCTCATAGTTCCGAATGTTCTCATAGTTCTCAATGTTCTCAATGTTCTCATAGTTCTCAATGTTCTCAAAGTTCTCAATGTTCTCATAGTTCTCAATGTTCTCATAGTTCTCAATGTTCTCAATGTTCTCATAGTTCTCAATGTTCTCAATGTTCTCATAGTTCTCAATGTTCTCATAGTTCTCAATGTTCTCAATGTTCTCATAGTTCTCAATGTTCTCAATGTTCTCATAGTTCTCAATGTTCTCAATGTTCTCATAGTTCTCAATGTTCTCAATGTTCTCATAGGTGTCTTAGTTAAACTTCGGTGTGCTCTTTCTGTACTGGGTCTCTTTGTAAAGTTCTGATAGTCTGCATAGTTCTGTATCGCAGTCTTTCAATTGACATCACTC